TTTTTTTGGTGGTCAGTTTGTTTTTCGATGTGCGATCGCGAAGGAGCCATCACCAAATAAATAAAGAAAAAATACACAAGTTGCCTTTTTATCTACAACAATAGTCGCAAGAAAAATTGTAGAAAAACCTCTACAATTCTCCAGAGGTCCTTCGAGCCGGATTCGGTCTGGCATATTCATGTCAATTTCAAGACACCCGTCATCGATATACAGTCCACCTGGCTCCACCGGACAGCGCGCGCATCCTGCTACAGGACATTCCTAGGAACCCATTTGTGATCGACATAAGCACTTTTATATTTTCTTCGAGTTGTGTGCTCGTCATTGTGAAATGGAGCCTGAGTCAATTCCAGTGGATGATGGTGCATCCGAGGCATCCTCCCTCAATACTAATGAAGAATCGCGAGAAGGAGTGGCAACACGGAATATTCGCATAAAGATGCATCAGCGGGATAATCTCCTAACACGCTTGCGCTCGGTACACATTGGAGTGCTTGAAGGCGAGTCACTTTCGCTTCGCCAACTCGCAGCAAAATTGAGTTTGGTGGAACGACAATATACCGCACTTGACGCTCTACAAACTCAATTAGAGGAGCTGGACGAGTCGCAGCTAGAAGCAGAGCATCGCGTAGCACTTGAAGAGTCGTATGTGGAAGCAAAAGCCGCAATCCTTGACCAGATGGAAGAGCTGCAGAGGATTCAACCGTCCACCCAACTCAGCAGCACACATGTAGAACGCTGCCCAACACACCGTATAAACTTGCCGAAGCTGCAACTAACAAAGTTTAGCGGAAAACAATCAGAGTGGCTTGATTTTCACAATGTATTTACAACGTTAGTACACAATAATCGAGACCTAACCAACATCGAACGATTTCAATACTTACGATCTTGTCTAACGGAAGAAGCCTCGCGGTTAATACAGTCGCTTGAAGTGACTAGCAACAACTACAGCACTGCGCTTGATCTCCTCATCACTCGCTTCAACAACAGCCGCTTAATCTTTCAATCCCACATGCAACAGATCTGCGATCTATCACAGCTTTCATCATCGAACCTCTCATCGCTTCGCAACTTCATTGACACAGTCAATGTAAATCTTCGGGCCATGCAGTCTTTGGCAACCACGCAACAAGTCGGTGAGGCAATCCTACTTCACCTAGTATCAAGTAAATTAGACCCGTCAACGCGTACAAAATGGGAAGAAGAAGTTGCCGTAAAGTGGACCGCCACAAACTCAACACCCTTGCAGATGCCTACTTGGACAGATCTCGCCTCATTCCTTGAACGTCGTTGTCAGACGTTTAATATGCTGGCGGCGAACAAACCAACCCCCGAACTGGCATCGTCATCTAAGAAATATGCATCAAAAACTTTGGGCAGCAGAGGACATTCACTTGTCACAACGAATTCAACCACTAAGTGCCTCCTGTGTGGTACAAGTCCTCATCATAGCCCATTCAACTGCGAACAATTTATGAAATTGAGCCCTCAAGACCGGTTTCTTCGTGTCAAACGCCTTAACCTATGTCTGAACTGTTTGGGTAAGAATCACACGTCAAGTGTATGCCCATCTGTTCGCAGGTGCCAGCACTGCCGAGTGAGCCACCACACGTTGCTGCATAGAACATATGGAGCGGGGGACTCATCCAATAACACCACTAACATCGTAAATAGTCCAGCAGTCGAGAACACCAAGCCGGTGGTTCTACAGGTCAAAGAGAGTTGCGGAGACGTCATCTTAGCTACAGCACGTGTGTATCTATCGAATTCATCGGGATACTCAACCATCGTTCGTGCCCTCCTAGATTCGGGGTCACAACTCAATTTTGTGACCGAGCGGATTGCACAGCACTTGCATCTACCACGGGTCAAAGGAAGCATCGAAGTTATAGGCATAGGTTCAACATCTACAAAAATGCAACAAACAAGTCAGTTAACAATGAAATCCCTTCACATGGACTACTCATCGAGTTTTGAGGCGGTAATAATCCCAACGATAACAGCACAACATCCAAACGTTCGAATTTCCTCAAGCGCGTGCAAAATACCAAACAACATCAAACTTGCAGATGAGAGTTTTCACGAGCCACAAGGAGTTGATTGTCTAATCGGTGCAGGGTTATTCTTCGACCTGCTCCTTGTGGGTCAAATTAAAGACGACAACAGGTCACCGATCCTCCAGAAGACAAAATTAGGGTGGATCGTTTCAGGACCAATTCCATCCACGAAGTCAGCATCTTCGCAGACTACAATATCATCTTCATCGCTTTCATCAAAAATATCATCGCTTCCTGCCTACAAGACGTTTATAACAGTGGGTAATAATTTAACCCTAGACAATCTGCTGCAAAAGTTTTGGACACTCGAAGGTTATACTGAACCAGTTAAAATGTTCTCAGAGGAAGAACAAGCCTGCGAACGGTTCTTCGAAGCAACAACAAGGCGGTGTCCAACCAGCAACAAATTCTTTGTACGTTTGCCGTTTAAGGGAAACCCAGAATCACTGGGCCAGTCATATGAAATCGCGTTCAAAAGGTTAGTAGCACTGGAACATAAACTACTAAGAAATCCTTCAATGTTAACGAATTATCGAGACTTCATCCACGAGTATGCAGAGTTAGGGCACATGACACTGACAGATAACTCAACACACAATCGGTACTTCATTCCGCACCACTGTGTCATAAAGGCTGACAGCAGCACCACAAAGCTACGCGTCGTTTTTGATGCATCCTGCCAGACGTCAAATGGGAGGTCATTGAATGACATACTTAGAGTAGGTCCAACTCTACAAGATGACATTTTTACAATCCTCGTTCGCTTTCGAATCCATAAGTATGTTTTGATGGCCGACATTGCTAAAATGTACAGGCAGGTATTGGTCGACAACGCCGATGCGAATTGGCAGTGCATTCTCTGGCGCAATTCTCCGCTTGATCCAGTAAAGGTATATCAACTAAAAACAGTGACGTATGGAACCAGCTCCGCACCTTACCTCGCTACGAAATGCCTACTGGAGCTCGCAAAAAGGGAGTCGACTGAGTTTCCAATCGGGTCTGCTATTACCCTCAAGGATTTTTATGTCGACAACCTGATGACTGGTGGCCCGTCGGTTGACGCAGTGGTTGAAATCAAAGGGCAAGTCACAGCATTGCTCCAACGAGGAGGATTTCCGCTACGTAAGTTTGCCTCCAATAACAAGGAAATCATCAACGACGTACCGTTTGAAGACAGAGAAGAACCCATTGGTCTAGGGGATTCGACTTATGTCAAAACTCTCGGACTTAGATGGTCCCCCTCACAAGATGCCTTTTTCTTTTGCTACACGGGGCCATCAGCAACACGTAAACCAACCAAGCGTGCTATACTGTCACAAATTGCGACCCTCTTCGATCCGCTTGGACTACTTAACCCCCTTATTGTTTCGGGAAAAATTTTAATGCAACAGTTATGGAAATTGAAGCTTGACTGGGACGAAAGTGTGCCTCAAGACGTTCACACTCAGTGGCGCAATTTTGAAGATCATCTGAGCCTTATAAACAACATACAGCTACCAAGGTATGTACCAATGAATGTCACAACTCAAATCCATGCCTTTGCAGATGCTAGTACAAAAGCATATGGTGCATGCATTTACGTCGTGACTCGGCAGGAGAAGGAAACTACGTCATCCTTACTTTGCGCCAAATCCCGTGTAGCACCAACAAAACAAGTAAGCCTGCCACGGCTTGAGCTATGTGCTACAATGTAATTGGCTGAGCTCCTACAAACTATAGTTGAAATATTTTCACCAAGGTCGGTTAACATTCATTGTTGGACCGACTCAACAATCGCTTTGAGCTGGATACGTGGTGAGCCATGTCGATGGACGGTCTTCGTGGCAAACCGAGTGTCAAAAATACAGCAACTAACATCGCACTATAAATGGCATCATGTACCATCTGAACTCAACCCAGCGGACATAGTTTCGCGTGGCACAACCGTCGCTGGAATCCGCGGGAATCAATTGTGGTTCCAAGGGCCTCCATTTTTGAAGACTCCACAAGAGGAATGGCCCAATTCTTCTTTTGACACCATACCAGACATTCCAGAACAACGAAAACAACGTGTGACATTGCTGTCAGCACCTCAAGTAGACATCTTCGCCGAAAATAAATATGTTAATAGCTACAACAAGTTTCTACGAATTTTCACCTATGTAAGGCACTTCATGTCGAGAACACCAGTTGCGTCGATAACACCAGAAGAAATTAACGACACGCTTGAATTTGTCTGCAGGAGAATTCAGAAGTCTCATTTTGGTTACGAATACAGCAAACTGCAATTCAATCAACCCATCAGCAAAACCTCAAAACTTGCATCACTTTCTCCATTTTTGCACAACAATCTTATTAGAGTGGGAGGAAGGTTGAAAAACTCAACATTGAGTTTCGATGCAAAACATCCAATTGTTCTCCCACATTCCCATCCATTCGTCCACTCACTCATCACGCATTATCATCGCAAAAATCTTCATGCTGGTGCACAAACCTTATTGAACATTATACGGGACAAATTCTGGGTCGTTGGTGCTCGTACGACTATCCGTCAAGTGATTCACAGCTGCATACGGTGCTACCGTCTTCGTCCAATAGTAACGGAACAGCTTATGGGGTCACTTCCCACGTGTCGAATTATGCCATCGTATCCATTCGAAACAACAGGAGTAGACTACTGTGGTCCCTTATTGATCACACAAAGAATAAGAGGACGACCACCAATCAAGGTTTACATCGCGGTGTTCATATGTTTCACCACCAAGGCTGTGCACCTTGAAATTGCACCAGATCTATCAACAGCGGCATTCATTGCAACCTTTAAGCGTTTCATAGCCAGGCGCGGGAAGTGTCGGGTAGTTGTGTCCGACAATGCAACAAACTTTGTTGGGGCAAATCGTGAGCTACGCGAGCTTTTGCATTCGTTCACTACCGAAGCGCACATCGAACGTGTTGAGGAGTTTTGTAGAAACGAAGGAATCGAGTGGAAGTTTATTCCACCAAGATCACCACACTTCGGTGGCCTGTGGGAAAGTGCAGTAAAATTGGCCAAATATCATTTGCGTCGTGCCATCGGAAATAATGTTCTGACACACGACGAACTCCATACAATCGTCTGCCAAGCCGAAGCAGTTGTGAACAGTCGACCTCTGACCCCAATTTCAAGCGACCCAAATGATCTTCGTCCACTCACCCCAGGACACTTCCTCATCGGCCGATCTCTGTTAACTGTTCCTGAACCATCAGTGCCAGTCAACCTAACCAGTACAGGTCGTTCTAAAATCATTCAGTACGTCCAACAACAATTCTGGCATCGCTGGCAGCAGGACTATCTGAAGGAACTGCAAAGGCGTTCGAAGTGGAAGACTGCATCACCCAACATCAATGTTAACGACCTGGTAATACTAAAGGATGACCTTACACCGCCACTAAAGTGGCCCATGGGTCGCATCATAGCCACACTACCAGGTGACGATGGCAGAGTGAGGGTCGTACAGGTAAAAACTGCAGATGGAATCTACAAGCGAGCAATAACAAGAGTTTGCAAGCTACCAGTTGAAACTTCGCCTCAAAAACATTGAAAGCATAACTTTCAAGGGGGGACGAATGTTCACGATCCCCCTTTCCTACTTCGCGTTCGGCGCTCCTGCGTGTGCTAATGGAACAATTTGCCAACCTATGAGTATGTGTATTTGAGTGCGCTCTAGCATAAACGAGTGATTTCACATCATTGCCTCTGCTTCTTTCGCTGCCATTGTTGACGTCGATGCCTTTATTGCCTTTGCTGTTTTCGCTGCCTTCGCTATCAGTGCCATCGTCGCTATCATCGCTTATCATCGTTGACGTTGTTGTCATTGTTTTCGTTGGAGCTCCAGTTATTCTATTCCCACTACCTTCGCACCTTTGTCAATGCATTGCCGCTACAGCATATGCATTTAACGCACCGCTACCATAATCTCTTGTTCATTGTTTTTATCGTTTGCCATCTCACGAAATCATACGATAGTTGACCTTCATATTA